TAAAGAATCAGCTTCTACTGTTGATAGAAGTATAAATAGTGTTTATTTGTCTATAACAACACTGAATGTAAATCATGCTTCACTACATCATACTGAAATATAACACAATGTATTTAGATGAACAGGTCTGGTGTATAATTTACTTTGTGGTACAAAAGTATCCTGACATCCACCAGAAAACTGTGAATTATCAAAAAAGTGCAAAGAAAAATTTAAAACAAAGTTAGAACATGTATAACAATGGCATTGCCTTTATCAAGGAGTGTAACATGGATGTTTTTATTTAGTGACAATTCTTTTAAGGCTAAGATTTCGTCAGGGGTTAGGGGGTTAGTTTCTCTCTTACTATTAAAATTATAAATTGTAGACAGAGCAAGATTTTTTAATTTAGTAATAAAAAAATCATGGAAAAAATTTGTAGTCTCAATAATCGAATGGTGGTCGATAAAGCCAAGCTAAGGAATGGCGATTGTGGGAGATATAAAACCTCTGTGAAACAGCCAAGTCAAAAAATGAGTCATGGTTGACACCACTAATTGAAAAGGATTCAACCTCCTCTCAATACAAAATTGCCAATATGACTCTCATTACTGTTGATAAAAGTGTCTTTTATACTAAGCAGAAACCTAGACAGATATATGTCAACCTTAGAAATTAAACCCAATGCTGTATGAAAGACAGCATAACCTCTACGCTAGAAGCTTGAGCTTTTGGATAGCCAGGTGTATCATATCAGATCATGGCTGCCTCCACAGCAAGAGCCTAGAAAGAAGTGGAAGAGTTGGACACACCAGAAGGGACTGCAGAAGCAGAAACCTGGGTGCAGCAGCCAGTCTGGTGCTATCAAAAGGATCTGACAATGGGTTGGAACAAATCATAATTCTTACCCCGTGTAACGTATGAAGTGGAGAGAAGGTTTAGAGTGGTAATCCCATCTTGTCCAGATGGAAAGCAGCTATTGCCACACCCCAAAGATTAGGTACTAGAGACCAAATTGCCAATAGTTTGGTGATCCAATGAGCAGCCAAACCACCAATTAGACTAGCAAATGAGAGCCAATCCAACAGAACCTTGTGATGCAACATCTATTCTGTTGGGAGAATCTGTTTGGATTGAGACAATGGACATACCACCACAGGCATCACCTGTGGAACATGGGAAGCTAGAAGGGTGATAAGGTAGGAGTGGTCCAGAGAAAATTCGAAACTAAGGAGCCCTAGACCATATGCCACCGTGATGAGAAATATAAGATACAAACACAGAACATTCAGAGTGAAGCATGACAATTTACCCCTTAAGGAGCCCAGACCATAAGGCCTTGCCTGTTGAAGAGCAAGAAGTACAAAAACTATGTGTAAGAATTCCTTGTTGTCCATGCATAGACCCTGGAATTCCTGACTGTTGGTATATGCACCCCATCTCTGAAACAAGGCATTCATGTAGAAAAAGAAACTCTGGATGAGGTGGCAGTAGAGGAACCCAAATCATGGTAGTGTCCTGACTGAACAACCCCTCAAATTGAAGAATGATCCAGACTAAAGAAACTGGAGAAACCAATAAATATATGTATATGATCCTTGATTACATAAAAACCAATAAAAAGATCACTTGTGTTCTTGTTCCAAAGGCACGAAGGATTTGAGTGATGCCAACAATCCTAGCAGAAAAAGAACCATCCATGCAATGGGAGAAAGAGAAGTGAGTAAGAGTGTGGTGACCTATTCTATAATGTTGAACACGATGAGAGACAGTTGAGCCAAACTGAGAGGTGAAATGAAAAAAATATCCAGACTGGTGACATATTGAATTGAAGGAAGAATAGATGTCTCAGTCCCAGTAAAAAAACACAGTCTGAGGAATGAGTAACTTATGAACCTTGGAGAATCTAAACATTTATATAGACAAGGAAAATCAATGACTAGACACCAATCTCCTGGCAGCATAAGCTCAACAACTGACAGGAATAAACTTCTGAAACTAGCCCGACTCTATCTATCCTCAGACCAACCAGACTCAGATAACCCTAGAACTAAGTTCCACATCCCTATGAACTGCAGGAGACAAAAAGCCCACAGGTTGGGTGGCAGTCAGAAAGATGTGAACTGAATGATCAATTGTGACCCAAGGACCTGAAGAGATCCTGGACCCATGGTTAAGGTTACCACACGTCCAGAAATACTTGGAACCAAGACCCCACAGACCCTGAAGGTATACAATAATCACCGATGCTCCTAGTGATCTGACTAAGCATTGGAAACCTTGGATATAGATAGAATCTATTCTGAGTACCAATGTACCAAGGATATGATGTCGGGACTCATGAAAAGGGGTGGAACTAAGATCCCCTGTAGGAGCCGATGAAAATCGAGACTCCAACAACAACAACCAGGAGGAATGTGGAAGGCAAAAATGAAACCAACATGCATGCGAACAATGGATCCAGTCCATAATCAATGAAACTTGGGATCCTGAGTCTTCTAACAAAGGAAAGTGAAAGGATACAAAATGTTGAATTTGAGTTGTAAGTCTGTAAACTTACTCTGTCCCATCAGGGGACACAGACCTAGATAGGTGAGCTACAACTCCACCTAAAAACCCAGAAATTTGAGAAGCAGATGTATTATTTGAGTCAGAAAATGTTTCTACCTGGCAATGGTAGGTTAAATCATGAAGTTCCGACAAACCTTTACATAACAGTTCCTTTACATAACTCAGAAGAAAACCTCCTTTCATGAGCCAGAATGTGTGTGGATGGAGAAAAAAACTAAAATTTGCTCCCAGACCTTTCAGGCATCAAGTAAGTTGCTGGTTCAAAAGCAATTTGGAAAAAGCCCAAACATCACACGCTCAAAGGACCAACAAAAGAAAAATAAATCAAGGGCAGTTTATCTCAAAATGGCCTCCTTTTCATTTTTCATAGGTCATTTAAAGACTGTTGATGACCATTGATTGGAACAGCATTTTTTGAGGTAAAGTAAGTTGTTTTGTTAGATCAAAGCAACTTCTGGCCAGCTGCCATGTCCACCCTAAAGAATCAAACCCCAGACACCAGCACTTCAAGTCCATATACTTATCACAGTCCCACAGAAGGATGAAAGTCCAACAGAATAAAAAAAAGGCAAAGGAAAAAGCGAATCTGAAGTTTCTCCAAAATATAAAGGATCACCCTCAATTGCAGCCTCAGAGCCTCTTGGAGGACCACAACAGATCCAAATATATGTCTCCATCTCACTAAGAAAAAGATCACTAACAACCTCAACCAAAAGTGACCACCACCCCTGACTGTAATTCGGAATGCATATCGTAATTGGCAGAAGAAGAAAAAAACAATTTTTTTTAAATATTATTATTAGGATGATTACAAAATAACTGGGAAACCTGTTAGTGATGCTTTGCAAGAAAAAGTATTAACATAATCTGAATAAGGTGCCAGTACCAGGATAGAGGGCCCACTGACATAGGTGAAAAGTTTCATGAGATAAATATTGCCAATTAAGTGAGGGTATAAAAGAGAAACTGAGAAAAAATCAGACCAGTGCTCAGACGGGCAAAGAAGAAACCCTGGTGGTCGAGTAATAGCTATAAGTGTATGTTTTGAAATAACTGAGCAGAGAAGAATAATTTGTCTTGTCAAATTGTGTTCTAAAATAACTGAAAGAACCTGTATGAACTTTAAAGAAAAAGATAAATATTTAAAGCTCTGGATACAACTGTGATAACCAACAGTGTAACGACATTTATATATACATTTGACTTGTATTAATATATTATTTCAAAATAAGTGGACTATGTGCTGTTTGTTTATTGTTTAAATTTATCACCAACAAGTTACAGAATCTGATTCAAGTTAAAGAATCTGACCCATATATAAAACCTGATAGTGGGCAGAGAAGTCGCTCACCTACAAGTTCCCAACATTGGCCAAACTGTATAAAATATATTTACAAGTACTAGCAGCCTCATTTCCAAGTGACTGCATCTTTTCAAAAATAGGCTTAGTTCTTACTCAGTGTCCAACCAACTTGAAGCTGAACTCTGCTGTATAGTTCATATGTCTCAGTCACAATCTTCAAGTTTCTTATAAATAGTTCACTAAGTATACATAATGCTTTCTTAATGCTGATACATCTGTATATTTTAAGTTATTACAATCTATGTAAATAGTTCCAAATTGTTCACTAATATTTGTTTAAGCTATGTTGGGACTTTTAAACAAGTTTAAATGTTCAGATTCAACTTCAATGACAGTGTGTCCAAAACAGTGACTTGTTTTTATTTTACTAGTCTTGCTTTACAGTAAATACCGTGTTCATGAAATTCTTGAATATTTTACATATTTATTATATTTAGTATTGTAATATGTGATTTGTTCTGAGTTATGATACCAGATTTTTTTCATAAGTTTATTTTAAAAATATTTGTAAAATTATCATTTTATAAAAAAATTACAGTTTCATTTGATTATCTTCATTAAAAACCATCAGAACAATATAACATCTTTATTGTAAAACAAAATATAAATTACATAAATGAAAACACTCTCATTAACTTCACTAACCTAACTCATATTCATAAAGTATCCTTGTCTCAAGCCATCATCACAATAACAGCTCCCTCTAGCAAACAAATAAATCATAGCATTAAAAATATAATTTAAAACTACACTGTCATATTCAGTTACAGTGTATAAAGTTTCACAGTTTACAGGTCTTTACAAATCAATCAAATTGACCAAGCCACATGCAGATGGTTAACAAAATGCTAAGGTTTGTAATTAACACTTCAAGTCAAAGTTTTTAGTACTACTGTATTTCCCCTAATTAACACCCCCCCTCTAATTTAATAAAAAATATCTAATAATCAGTGACAGAAAATTCATGTACACTGTTAAACAGGTAAAATTCACACTACTTGTGTTGGACATAACACAAAATATTTAAATTCTAAATATATATATACTTACCACTAGATAATGTAGGAGTTTCATCTTCATTTTTCATCAATTTGATGTCCAATAGGTTCTTCTGCTCCTTTTCAGAAAAGGGTTCAACTTTCATCTTTGATAAATCCATGGTTACATCACAGCTTCAACTTTGTATCATACAGTTAGTCTACAGAGAAACAGGCTCAGAATTAGGTACTTGCATTCTGCAAAAATATTACAAATTTTTATTAAGTACAAATCTTAAAATCAACATTATCTTGATAGCTTTTAAATAAATATCTAAGCTCCTTAATGTCCTTGCATTTAAAGTTACAATTCTTTATTTGACATTGTGATAGTTATATATATACATATATTATGTATTTTCATCATTGAAACATTTAACAAAGTTTATATTATACTTTACTTATGGTATCTGTCTTGTAATGTTAAATGTAAAGCAGTTGATACATATAATCCTTCTATTCATCAGTAGAACATTTTACAAAGTTTATATAGTATAAAAATATGGAGTTTAGTATTTCTGTAGTTCCACTGACATCTTCATTAGTGTAGTTTTTTATGCGAGGTTTATATATTCTGTGGGGTATAAACCTACTCCCCAGTGATGTTTAAACAGCATAACTTTTGGTAAAGATTGTTATGATTTCTTGCTAGATGTTTTGTTTTAAAAACAATTAACTATTGTAGTGATGAATATAAAATTAAATAGTAGGTTGAACAATAGCAGATTTATAAAGATTTAAAAATATAAAATTGTTCAACCTATTATTTAATGATGACATCTTTGTCACCTATTCAGTTTTAACTATATGTTTCTTTTTATAAGATCCATTAGGTAACATCTCTCTCTAAATATATATATATATATTTGAGAGATGAATGTAAAAGTTTATATATTACAATACTTAAGGAATATAATAGACCTCTTGGTCAACCAAGGCTGTTATATCCACTAACAATAAACTCTCCCCCCCCCTCTCTCTATATATATATATATTTGTATGTGTGTATAGACATAAACATGTACAAGTAAATAGTACTAATACTGTAAATTACATCAATTCTGTATAGACAATGTAATCAGCACTATATAAGAATTAGAGTGTGTGTTAGCACTTTCTATGTAGGAATGGCATGGACACCTGTAATAAAACAATACAAAAGACACCTGGATTTTCTTCTTTACTGGCCATCATAAACTAGGTATGAATAGCTACCTGACATTAGTTGCTATATCTCTGGTGTGTATACCACTTTTCAGCTGCCCCAATGTCATAAACCAGTGAATACCCAAAACAGAGATTTCTAATTTTTGTTCATAGTCATATTTCTTCAACAGGCCTAGTGCGTACCTAGTTCTAGTAGTAACTATAATGTTGTCATAATTTGATAGAGCAAAACAGTCTTCATGACCTTTGACTACCTATTTCATTATTATTATTATATGTAAAATTGATAAAGCTTTAGAATACACTATATAACCTTGTAACCCACATATGCCATCTTATGAAAAAGTAAACAAACAAGTATTAGGAAAGAATAATTACTGCTAAATAAAAAAGCTATGTAGGACTGGCTACTGAACTTGAAAAAAGAACCAAACATGATAGGGATGGTAGTCGACATATCACTTGATCCGGCTAATTATCACATTGTAGAATAAGCCATCAGAATTTAACATGGAGAATAAATCCCAACATTACTGAATTCCTAACTGGCAAAACAAATAGAACCAGACCTTCCACTCATAAAATGTTACACTATTGTAAAACAGTCAAAAAAGTAGTATTATAAAGTTAACTAAAGGAAAGATATAATGATGAAAGCTGAGATTTTATTCAAACAACAAGCATTCAATAAACAAAGTGGGGAAGCCAGTAATGTTGGGATTTTATTCTACATACAAAGTCTGCTGTGTGATCATTAGCTGGATCAAATGATATGCCCATTTTCCCCCTTATCTTGTTTCTTTCTTTTCTTCAAGTTCAGTAGTCAGACCTACATAGCTTTTTTTATTTAATGATAAATTCTTTCCTAATACTTGTGTAGAGCAAGGAATGATTTTCCTTAAAGAAAAGGATAATGATTTATTGGAATGTACTAGGAGGGGGGATACTAGAAATTAGTAGAATACTAGAATTAGAATGATTTCCAAGATGAAAGAATTATTTTACAGGGAAAATTTTATTTTAAAAAAGGTCGGTGTAAAATATGTGATCTTACTGAAGTTAAATATATTTTCAAGGAAATGAATAGATAAATGAGAAATTAAACATACACTAATAGTAATACAGAAGTTTAAATTTAGTTTTAAGATTTGGAAGAGACTGGCTGTGCTCCGATTAAAAGTTTTATTATTTCTAACGTGATTGGCTCATGGAATAAGCTACTATGAAAAGTAGTGTAACTCGGCAATTTTGAAAGAAAGTAAAATAAGAGAACAATTTATTTCCTGAAATACAAATGGTAGACTTCAATGCCTACTTTTTCTAAAGGATGGGTATAGAGTTTAATGAAATTGAAAACGTTGAAAGTTGTGACTTCAACTGTTGAAGGTCCATCGTTTTTCAGGATGGCTAGAACTTGAGTGATAGCGAATTCTACTTGTCTTTTTTTATGGTTTTGTTTACTATTCGTTCATTATTCCTTTTACCATTTAATATAAGTGCGAGTATTTTGTTATAATAAAGCGCTTACTCACCTTCTACCCAGAACACGTTAATTTTGATGAAATATGTATGAATGTATTTATTATGAATCAAAAACTACCTTCCCCTAGCGGTTATGCACATATACTAATGTTTTGAAAGATTAGGTAGGTTTTACGGTAAAAGTTTATCATATAATATCTAACCTAGTGCTCTAACTACGCAATAGAAAGCCATCTTTCATCTTAAAAACGAGATAGTTCACGAGTTACAGCTAGAAAGAATTATTGTTCAATATTATCATTAAATCTTGAGAAATGATTTAATTTTAGAATATTGTGATTTTTAGAATTAAGTGTTTCTGGTTCCTTTTCTAATTTTTTAATTTATTAATTGAGGTTTATGGTGAATTGTTCATTAATGTTTTACTTTGTCCTGTCCAAGCATAAGTGTACTAACTTTTTGTTATAAGTGATAAGGTTATTGTTACGTCTCCGTTCGTTAGTTAATTTTCCGTAAATTCGTTCCAACTGTTACGTCTCTGTATGTTTGTTTGTTAATTCTTCTAAGATACAAG